TTCTTCTTTCTTTCTTTCTTTCTTCTTTCTTTCTTTCTTTCTTCTTTCTTTCTTTCTTTCTTCTTTCTTTCTTTCTTTCTTCTTTCTTTCTTTCTTTCTTCTTTCTTTCTTTCTTTCTTCTTTCTTTCTTTCTTTCTTCTTTCTTTCTTTCTTTCTTCTTTCTTTCTTTCTTTCTTCTTTCTTTCTTTCTTTCTTCTTTCTTTCTTTCTTTCTTCTTTCTTTCTTTCTTTCTTCTTTCTTTCTTTCTTTCTTCTTTCTTTCTTTCTTTCCTTTTCCTTCCTTCCTTCCTTCCCTCCCTCCCTCCCTCTCTCCCTCCTTCCCTCCTTTCTTGTCCGCTTTGCTTCCTGTTATTGCATCTACAATAGTCAAAAGCAACTTCATATATATATATGTATGTATATATTAGTGACAAAAAAATAAAATAAAACATCTGACACGAGATGTTTAAAATATTAGGGAAACCGCTGGAGTTAATGTATTCTTATTGATGTATTGCTGGAAAAGAGGTGTGATTTATTTATCTGGGAGACTGTACAGCACTTAGGCACAGGATGTTTTGATTACTGGTAACACCTATCTCTTTTTTTGAAGTTGGACAAAATATTTATTATGTATTTTTAATATACATTTGAAACTTATATTCTCGCCTTTGATATCTTCCCTGAATATGCCAGAGATAGGTATCAGTGCAGTAGTAGTTCAACACTTAGATCAGGGTAGAGAAAATCTTGCATTTTCATGCTGGATTTCCTTTACTATCAATCTTTAAATCCTTGAATAATTTGATCCCTTGAAAAAGAGAGAGAGGGAGAGAAAGAGAGAGTCTTGACTACAATCATCTGCACAGGTAATTGGAATCTCCTTAACAGGAGCTGAATAAACTGGAGTTGAGTTGAGCTGAGCTGAGCTTTGAGCTGCCCTTCAGCTGGGAAATGAGAACCGCAGCCAAACACTACAGGCACAGTCTCTAGCTGATGGGGACTTTGTCTTTCTCTCCTTCAGCTAACGATCTCCACTTCTCAGAGGTCAGCCTTCGGCTCAACCCCCAAATCATTATCCCTTTTCCTACAGCTAATTAGAATACGCTGAAATCCGAGGGAGAAGGACCTAGCCTGGCACAGGCCCAGACAGCACGACTTGAGCAGGAGTCCTCAAGCCTCTCCCAGCCCTCCGGTGCCAGGGAAGGGCAGGGTCACTGGGAATGTCCGCCCCTCTCCTTGTCCCTCCCCGGGCCCCTGTCCCCGCGCGGTGGCGGCGCCGGGCGGGGCCGGGCGGCGCGGCCGGGGGAGCTGTCCCTTCAGCACCACCGCCCGGCCCCGCGCCCGCCGCTCCCACCGCCCCGCCGCGGGAACACCCCCAGCAACCCCGCTCTGAGACACTCTGGGGAGAGGGTGCCCCAAAACCTCCCCTCTCAGCATCACAGAATGGTTCAAGTCGGAAGGGACCTTAAAGATCTGAGAGTTCCGACCCCCCTGCCGTTGACAAGAACACCTTCCACTAGACCAGGTTGCTCCAAGCCTCATCCAACCTGGCCTCGGACACTTCCAGGGAGGGGGCAGCCGCAAAGGGTTGTAGTCTTGCGGGTAGAACCGCGTGTTGTGCCTGCTCTCCTTCTTCACTGACTGTAGTTGTGTCTGACCATTGTTTCTGTGTAATGTTTGCCTAAGGAAGCCACGGCTAAAATCAGGTATGTGGCACAACAGCATCACATCATCTAAAATATCTCCTAAATACTTATTTCTCTCAGTGGGTATAACGGCAATAATGGGATAAGAAGTGTCCATTTCAAAACGATGAGTCTTGAATTGTCCTCTCTGCGCCTGCATTTTTTCTTTTATACTGTGAATGAGCGTTTGTTTAAGCTTGTAAGACTTTTGTTCTTACGTTAGGTCTTTAGATTACTTTTGCTTCTCTTAATGGTGGACGATGATAATAACACTGTCCCCCCCTCCCTCCCCCCTCCCCCCAAGCCTCGAACATGAGATTTCGCAATGCCGAAGAAACCCGTATTTAAGAAGAGTTCCAAATCTTTCCTCTAACTTTGACGTGAGGCTCTTACATTGACAGATGGGTATCAAATGAAGTGACACTCCAAAGCGAGTTGCGCGCCGATCCAAAGCGCTACTGAAACCACATTTCCAAAAAACCCTCCTTCCTTTCAGCCTCACACGAGATCAAACCGCCGATTTAGTAGCCCCGATCAAGGGAACACGTTTCTCATCCTATCAGGTATCAATTCGATTAAACGGGGAATGGCAAAACGAGTCAAGGAAGCTCCGGATTCAGCGAGAGCATCCGAGAGCTACCGAGGAACAGATCACTGATAAAGTGCAAACGGACTGGGAAATGTGAAGTGCCCTAAGCTAATTGGAACGCACCTCTGTCAAATGATCACCATTT